CGCTCAATTTATATGATCCTTCAAATTAAAGCACTTGAGTAATTTAGCCAGCACTGCTTTTTTCCAGCAAGAAGATGCTGAGTTACTCCCTCTTCTTTTTGAGTGATGCTTTTACGTATTTATTAGAAACGACTTTCGTTTCTGCCAGCCAATATGGGTCCTGTTGAGGCTATTGAACAAAACAATTCTAACAGCTAACTTCTATGTGATAAATGTGAAGGAAAATAGGTTATTCAAACCAGTTGGTTCGGATCAAATAGGCTACAACATAAAGACCAAGTTAAATGTGAAACGACAGACACTAGCAGCATAAGAAATCCAGAAAAGAGCTCAACGCCAACGAATTACCCTGTACACACCTGCTGGAGTCAGGTTTACAGAATAAAGTAAGCCACATAAAAATAAGGAGACGGAAAAGGAGGAAGTATTTTACCCTGATGCCCACTGGTTTCAGTGGGCAACGAAACAGGCCTCGTCTTCAAAACAGCAAGCTGCATCCTTTCGGCAAAATAAGAATGTAGCCAGTTTCTGACACAGGGCTAAGTATGAGGGATGGCAAGCTTATTTATCAAGAGTCGCCTTGGAAGAGGATCACAGGTAGAATTTAAATCTGGGAACGTGAAACGAGCATACCCAACCGGATGATGGTGCCACCCTAAACACCCCTGTGCTTGTGTGCAAATTGTTTTGGAACCCTGGAGGTTTTCAGGGCTGTCTATTGTGAGTTCCGACAGTCTTATCATTGATGGCATCGTTCCCTACGATAACTCCAGAACTACGGGCGCTTTAGGATTCACTTAACATGCTCCTGCGCGCATGAACACGGCGTAGTATACGCACAAATACCCAATTCACCAAACTATTCCTTAAGTAATGAAAGTCCAGTTGGAGGTGGAAGTAATCTTCTACCCTGTTCACAATGAATGAGGCTTTAGCAACAGGTTTTAAATGCGTACCTAGCAGAGGTAGCCTAGGCTCCAGCATAAAGTACTCTTTTGTATGACCTTACTATTAAGAAGCCCGAAAGTTAGGCATGTTGGCTTTTTAGAAGCTAAGCCGAAACAAACCAATCAGCGCCTTGATCATCTCTGCAAAGAGCCATTCAATCGGTTGCAGGTATTCAAGTCAACAGCTACACACACGTTTCCGGAAAAACTACCATTCTTCTATTTGTTTTCGATAACTTAAGTTAATATTCTTCGTAAGCCGGGCCCATGACCATTCTGTGTACTTAATCTAACAACTTCTGAAATACAAACACATAGTTATGTTTCCTGAAAGACCAGCCAAACGGGACCCTTGTAGCAAGCTTTCTTTTTTGCATTCACTGGTACGCATAACGTCCGATAGCGTCTGTTTCCTGCTGGCTTCGAATCCGTTGAGTCTTCGTCATACGAAGTCATAGTTCACAATCCACATTATCTTTCGTTTGCATTATGACCCGGGCGAGTCAAAAGTGTTTGGGGCATTAAGGAACGTGACAGTGCTCCGAGAAATTTATTCAGAGGATGGAGTCATATGCATGCTTAATGCAGTCGGTTAGTTTTGATCAGTGGGCATAGTGCTTATGAGTGTCAAATTACTCCAGCTGTTCAAACTTCTTAAAGTTCATGATGAAGGCTTCGTGAAAAGTCCTACATTTAGGCCTGAGGGCTTTTAAAGGGTTATCAGCTGACCCTGAAATGTCAGGATTGTAGCTGAAGGTCTCCTCGAAAAGTTATACGGTACAACCAAGTGAACCCCATATCTTGAAGTGTCAGCATTCTTTTGCCTGGTGGACTTAAGTTCACAGGCGGTGAGCGGGTCAGCATGTTTCACCGTAGTCTTCGGGTTTCTGGAGTAAAAATTTCTCGTTCTGAAAACAGGATCGATGAAACCCTCAAAATGTTTAATTATCAAGTTTATTACCTGGTTCTTGATCTTGCTTATGCTGTGCGATTCTAACTGCGTTGTCAAAATATTAAGCGAAAGTAAGCTGCTGTCCCTACTAGGTGCGGGTTTCTTTGACGTGGGTGACGCAGTAACTTCCTTGAGGGGAAGAAAAGCAGGCCCGTGTCCGAACCACCAGGCCAGAGGCGGAAAGGTGAGCTAAGTTTTTGTATATGGGGCGTCGTGCCAGTGGAAACTACACAGCAACTGCAGTAACAGTTGTTGCGTGTGCCAGCATTGGCGTTCCAATAGACAGAACCGACTGCAGTTCGTAAGATTTCATTAGATGACAAGCACAATCAAATCCTAACTTTTGACACGCTATAAATCTTTCGCTGCGATCAGCTTTTAGTAATTTTCCATCCTGGATGCAGACATGTTGCTATGCAAAGGCACGAGAAGAGTATGAGTGTCTTTGATGGTAGTCGTCCACTAATTAAATCAACCAAATTTAACCATTAAAAAAAGATAGATGTCAATAATCCACAACGATGAGACAAAGCAGTCGGTAATTTGAAACTTAACCCGTTGTGGAATGTAGGCTGTGGATATAAATCTTTTGAACAGAAATTTCTAAGTACATTTGTGGCAGCATCACTGGCCGGGAAAGCTGGAGCAGACACCCAATACGGAACGAACGGAGAAGGATCAGCGCTTGCTTACATTCTCACAGACGAAATCCATGTCCACCTCCCTCCTAGGCAAAAGCGATCGCTCATTGGCGAGATTCTCCTTGATAACTAGGGAAAACTTATCAATGGCTGAACCAGTACTGGTACCGAGAAGTGTTCTGAAAGAAAGCAGACGGCCACCTATCACGCTCTTGGGTTACTTGCGCAACCCAAAGACAAACACGGAGATGTAAGAGGGCACTTTACGAGTGGAGCACATCGCATAAAGAACCAGAATTTCCTATCTGCAACAATTTAAGCAAACTTTGTAATGTAAGTGTTGGTAATAACAAGTACCAGTGCCAGAGTAAGCTCGCCGGGTGGCTAAGCTAGGATCCAGAAAGGTTTATTGATCCGCGAGACGCAAAGACGGACGAATAAAAGTTTAAACCCTGTTGCGGGATCGAACGGAGAACGCTGTAATGGCGTTGGGGTGGAGAACCCTTGAGCAGCAGATTTAACGGGAGGCTGGACACAGTGATGCATCCAGTACCAACGTCCAGGAGGGTAACGAAGTTCCGGGACTGCAATAAAAAGCGGATGAACATAAAGTTTCGTCAAACCTAGCGTTTGCAAAGCTTTCAACACCCAAAATGGGGGAGACTCCAAGCTGTGACGATGCAAGAGTGATGGCCCCAAGGAGCTGGGCCAAAGTGAAAAGCATGCCAATATACAAACTGTTTATGTATTCGTTAGAAGCAAGTCAACTTCCTGAGGACTGTAATTTTGTTGTCTTCCCACCAGTCTTCAAGCAAAAAGCCTAGGCAACTACAGATTGAGAGCGTTAATCCCCATACCAATGAAGGTTCTGGCAGGCCCCGTCGTAGAGATTATTTAGGATTACCTAAACGGAAGCAGCATCGTTCATCCCACCAAACATGGCTTCAGAAGCGGGTTGCATTTGCCACAAGTTTGATTACGGCTTGAGATGACTGGGCCAATGGGTCGGACAACAAGCAACCAGTCCACTTTACCTCTCCAGACGTGGCCAAAGCTTTTGCTAGGCTACTACACTACATCGTGCTCGCTAAAATTGAGAAAGCGAGTATCATCGAACCACTGTTGGCATGGTTCATGGCATCTATGGAAGACAGAAAATCCTGTGCTAAGGGAAATAGAATTCGGTCGTCGTGGAAGACTGCAAAACAGCAGTCTCCCAAGAAATGATCCTTGGGCCACTGCAATTTTCGCCATTCATCGACGACCTCCTTGATCAAATCTCATCTCTCCCCGTATTTTCCGATGGTATCGAAATATGGAGGATACTAAGTGGGAAAGAGGAACCCATGAAACTCCAGGACGATCTGCCACGGCCGGAATTACGGTAAATGCGACTAGTTCGAGCTTCAACGTGCAGAAGTGCAAGGTGATGCGTATTCCGGCACCGGAAGCCATGAAAACGAGTACACCTTCATGAAGTTCACGAACACGATGGTAAACAAAAGGAGGTGCTCAGAACGAAATTGTCCGTCCAAGGCCGACAGTTTCGTAGGAATGCCACTCGCACACCCCACCTAGGGCGAAGATGAGAGTCAGATCTAACTTCCCAGACAGAGTGACTCATGGAGCACCATGTCGAAAGAAGCAGATAGCTAAGTCAGTTGACAACTTCGGACAACTACTCGGCAAGTAGTTGAGGCCTGAAGCCTTATCACGAACATTCAGCGGTAGCAAACGACACCTATTTTTCAGCAAGTGTTCTTAACTCCCATTTTCTTATTCCCCGCTCTCCCTACTTTTTAGATAACGTCTAATACTTACGGGCAGGTGCTCATAACGAACGAAAATTGCAACAGGTAAATTAATCTTATGAGCTACTGCATCGCTGCACCAAAGACAGAATCTGCAATTCGCAAAAGAAACCTTCAAATGGACATTCACTACCCTTAAGGCTAGGAGTGGCGAAATGGTAAGGACTACTGTGACCACCAAGAGTAAGACCGATGAAAGAGGACTGACCTTCAGGACCTAGAAGCGATGGCTCAAAAATCACAAGTATCTTCTACTGGCAACTTTAATGCTGGATGTTCAAAATGGATGACTAAAGTCTTAGATAAGCTACACTAAGTGAGAAAGTATTGAAGCAAAAAACCCACACATTGGGATAAAGACTGTAATATTTCGGCAGTAAATTCGGGTTTACTCCAGCAACTTATACTTCTATTGCAATAAGTACAACAAATTGAAACATTTAAGACCAAGTTACTGACTCCAAAAGAAAATGAATTAGCAGGGTGCGTTTCTTTGTTTCGACTGAAAAGACAGGTTTCCATAAAATGAAGTCTAGTTGATTAAGTAAAATGTGGTTAATGTGGCCTTTAGAGTCACTTATTTAAACTCACTCGCTGACTCAACTCAAGCGCTACCGGCAGTAAATACAAATTATTCTACGCAGTCCAAATGAGTCCAACCGCTTTGGTAATACTGTCTGAGGGAGCTGAAGAAATTGAAGCCGTAACAGTTGCTGATGTTCTATCCAGAGCTGAAGTAAAGGTTACAATCGGTGGACTTCAAGGTGATGGAGTTATCAAAGGGAGTAATGGAGTCTGTATAAAACCTAGTGTAGCGCTTTCCAGCGTTTCATCCCATCTCTTTGATTTGGTTGTAATGCCCGGTGGTATGGGTGGCTCTAAAGCCATGGCAGAGTCCACTCTGGTTGGAAAAATACTGAAGGAACATGAGAAGAACAACAAATATATTGCAGCAATTTGCGCTGCACCTATCGCCTTGGAATCTCATGGAATCCTAAAAGGAAAGAAACTGACCTCTTACCCAGGCTTCAAAGAAAAACTCCCTAGCTATACCTACTGTGAGGATAATGTTGTTGTTGATGACAAACTTGTAACAAGCCGAGGTCCAGGAACAGCATTCGCTTTTGCAATGAAGCTAGTTGAGTTATTATGCGGTGACTCTAAAGCTCAGAATCTCAAAAAAGGCATGCTTGTTTCATTTTAATTTCATTAGATCCTTCGGTCTTTGTCATTTTTGCTTGATTACGGTGAATCTAATAAACGTCACATCCATTGCATAAAACGTTAATTCTTACGTGGACGTCTACTGATATACCATGCAAACGCCTATGCATATGTTCTGTCCAGTTTCGTTTGGTGTTTCCTAACGCAATGTAGAGCAGGTCCTGAGATTTCCTTAGGTCTTTTCTCTTCCAACTTCCCCAGTGGCTGCCTACGGTGAGATGACTAGCTGAGGGGTGCCTAAGTGATTAGGGAAAGGAAGTGCTAACATCATCTATATTGACTGAGAATGTTTCGAAATCCTGAGTACCAGTTTACAGCTTCTTACCATTTTCTCAGCACTGTTTTGAACGCCTATGTATGTATGCCGGTCTTCTGTATAGCAACGTCAGGAAACCCGGAAAATGAAAACGATTGGTAGTTGCAGATTCTGGAAGGAAGTCACGATGTCAAATAGGCACAGATGACAAGAAAACTGCACATCAAGATGCTAAAAAAAGTGTTTTCCTGACTTTGTTGTAAGGCTTACTTTTTTTAATTTATGATTGTAATTTTCAGGTTAGCAACCTCTACTGCTTCATTAGACTACCTGAAGATTTATAGATGATGAGCCACTCAGGCCACTAACAATGAGGACCTCGAACGTATTTGAAATATGTTTGCGAATCCCGAGTTTGTACCATCATATTGCTTGTTAACAAGTCGTGTCAGAGTCACTGTTTGTGTTAGAATCTGATTTCCTTTGTTCGTAAGCATATGTTTCGCCAGAATAATTGGAACCAGTGTCAGTTCTTCTACATCTAGTTGTCCATAAGAAGTCAAAAAACCTCTGACCGCCTTCAGGCTAAGCCAAGCAGCTAGACTTTAATGGTGGATATATATATATATATGACTTATTGAAAGCTGTCGTAAATATGTGATTACGGCTGGTGTAAAAAGATCCACTTCGTCCTACCTCGTTAGTCATGTAACTGCCTGTTTACTGCTAGTTCCGCGGCGAATTAGTTAGATATCGAGGCTGACCGACAATGCGAATAAATTCTGGTCTCCGTGTACGGTTTGCCAACACTGATTTCTGGTTGCAAAGGACCCAGCCGAATAGTTTGTATTTCCCCATACCTATTCGGAGCAGTTGCCAAGCGAACTAGCATCCCGCCTTCGACAAAATTCTAAATTTCTAAGGTAACTCCTACTCAGATGGAGAGGCCAAGTCCAGATTAGTTATCGGAATATACGTCATACACATTGCAGTTCAGATTCACCTGCAATGGGATACATGATCACAAACTAGCTTTTATACTCCATTCCTAATTAGCATATCCACTAGAAAAGTCATCTTTTATGCGCTGTTTAAAACAATAAGACAATTCAGTCCTCACAACCAATTGGTCTTGGCACCGTAGTTTGAAGGGACGGGGATTTTTTTGCAGACATCATGATGTTGAGTTAGGAGTACGGAGATAGTTCCTATAACCTGAACCCACTGCAGTTGCTTACCTAAGGTATTTGTATAAAACTGTTGGGGTTCGAATATTGCTTGCCGATCGCAATGTGATTGGTCATCAGGTCCTATTAGTACTTCGCCAACCTTCACCAGAGAAGTCAAATTCGATGCTGTCTGGCAACGTGCAGTGGTCAGATGACTTCCGTCAAACTGTTCCACATAGTCAACCTAATCAGCTTTTGATAGATACATTATTCTCTTACAAAAGTCACATGGTTACATAGCTTGTTTGTGTGCTGGCAGTATTGAGGTTCATGATGCACGTCTTTGACCATTTAGGACTTGCCAACTGGGTTTACGTACATCTGATTTAGCTTTCAGGTTGGTATTCACCATGGAGGGACACCAGTTGCAGGAACACTGGACACCTGTTCCCTCCTAGTATGGGACTCTTCAGCAGTGCGTGCCCACGACAGGACAGTTACTAGATGGAGGTTGCGCTGTGTCGTGAACTGACGGAAGTTGGGAATACGGACCATTGGCAACGTGCTGGCCACGGGGCCTGAAAGTCTTGGGTTCGTTCCATGGCGTAGAAGGGCTATGGGTGCACACTGCTGAGTCCCATAATCGGGGCGAAACAGCTGTCCAGTGCTCCCAGATTTCCCATGTTTCTCCAACTGATGTCAGTCCATGATGAACACCAACTTGAAGTCAATAAATCCTTACAAACCTCCAAATTGAATCTCTGTTTTCAGTATGAATAAAAGCTAACTTGTTTCTGACAGGGGATTCGACAAAGTGGGCAGGAAAATATAACAGCAGCATTTTACAATTTAACGTAGCAGACTGACATGCATTATCTTCGTCATCTATAGATAGTTGGATGCCTGGCCAGTGCTGTAATTCGACAAATGCTAAACGAGTATACTGAATACTATCCAGAGTTTCGTCAGCAAATAACGCAATCTGGTTGACTCAACTTTCAAAGTATGTGAAAAGTCAAAGCATTCATTGTGTTCGAACTTAGAGTCAGCCAAGACCAATCTTGAAGCACTATCTTACATTTGAGTGGTGCAAATGTACGCCAGAAGCACTCGAATTTCTGCTTGAAGTGTTTAGGGGTATGTTACATCTACACATTAACTGTGTTTCAGCACAGTACATAAATACATACCTGTCTGAGTTGCTTTATTTGTTTACCTGAATAGTGAAGAGCAGTCACGATATTTAACTCTTGGTAATCATAGAAGCATAACCCACATTTGCTGAGTAAAGATAGATCACAAGCGGTTTTTAAATTTATGCAGAAAAAGTCGTAATGAAAATGAGAGTGACGTATAGTAACAGATTATCCTAACCACGGGTTTAGCAAGTGTTTATGTACGACAGATGCGTTTCATTAGCCTCAACTTTCAAGACGTCGACCCTGTATTTGAATGGTGCTACACTCACTCCGGCCTAGCAACTAGATAGTATCACAACCTGGTGCATAAAACTGTACTAGGTTGAATTCCAATGGTATGATTACAACAACATATGGTAAGCTGACACTAACTGGTAATAAGCACGAATGGCAACCGACAACAGTAAGTGTTCAAGCCTTATCTCGTAAGCAGGTACGTTAAGAAATATTCCTACATATATGGGCACGGTCTTCAGTTAAAGTAAGAATGATATAATCCATGATGCATACTGGTTGTAATTCTTCCATTAGTATAGATAAGATATCAGGGGCCGTTTGTTTGGATTCATTTCAGATCTATCAAGTATATTCAGAGCACTATCTTCTTGTTTAATGTCCTTGAATCAATCGCACTCCAGTACTATATACGGGACCCAAAACGAACGAATACTTCGTCTTCAAATTTCTCGCGTATGGATAAAATAAACATTGATGAACGCTGGATACAATTACATCTACATCTTGCAACAACCAGCAAAACTTAATGGAAAACAAAAGCCACTGTAACTCTGGACGAATTCGCTCCATTGACTTATCTTAGTTGACGTGGAGACATCTGCTAACTAAAATATTAGTTTGAATGAAAAATAGCAGACTCTATGTACAGTAGTATTATTTTTTTCATAATATTAAAATACAAAATCTGGAAACAAAAATCACTCCCCTTCCCGTTGAGCTAGTTTTCCATATCCACCCCTTTCAGCATCATAATCTTTGCGGAATTCATCTCGTACCTTTAAGGAGAAAGAATAATGTTACAGTTCATTTTAACATGTGATAATTATGTGGATTCGTAGATAAAAGGGTCTACAATTATCAGCACAGTGTGAAACTGAGATGTAGGAAGTAATAAACAAACTTGATAAATGCTAATGCTGAAAATGCATTTATGAATTAGGTAGGTTCATGGGGAAATAATAAAGAAATGGTTGGGGTATATGTCTTGCAATACCAACGACCGCCTATTTTGATGACGGTTGGAGGGGTAGGAGAAAACTCTCATCGTCAGATTAAAAAGAACGCTCAAAATGGTTATCAGATGGCTTAAGTGCTGACAAAACTAGGAAAACAGTGTAGTTTAAGTAAATTCAAAGCCTTGTACAATACATCTAAAAGCGGTGAAAACGGTTGTTTGAACAGTCCTCCAAACAGACAGAAAAAAATCAGCCTAAAATCTCGCACACAAATGCATCCGTTCAAGTTGTCAGACTTGACAGCAGCATGCAAATAACAAGTATCGAGAAAAAGACTGATATAAAAGTAGAACAAAGGAGAATGAGACGAGAAAGAATTCGAAAATGGAGGTTAGTGGAAATATTCAAGCTGCAGATGTCAACAAGTGCATCTGCCTCATTGTGACCGACCTCCAACCACGTCACCAAGAATATTCAGCCACTGATTGCCATGGTCTCTAGGACCCTAGCAAAACAGTCTAGACTTCTCGATATGGCTAAGACCAACAGTGAGAAACTTCGTCGGCTAGTACCGTGTCTTAGTCTGGCCACTCTGAGCCCGCTTCCAACTTGATCGAACTCCTAGTACTACATGTTACGGCTCAGCATATCCAACGCGTGTCGAAACCACCCCGGTCTGAAACCTGCCTGATTTTCTCCAGCCATCTAGATGTCAGATAGCTTCTGATCCTAGGATCTTGGATACGATATTAGTCAACTTGATTCCCCTATAATTGTCACAGGCAGACTTCTGTCCCATCTTATAGACTGGGGGGGAGGGGGGTCAGTGAATTAGACCAGTCTGACGGAACTACATCTGATTTCTATACTCTAATCCAGTGCTCTTATTACTCTACTCAGCAATTTACTACCTCTTTTAAAAGCTAGGAGTGGCAGCTGTTAGGTCCTGCTGCTTTGTATCGTTTCAAATCAGAAACAGCTGTCTCAACTCCGACTAAAGTTGAAGGACCGATACTTACATCCTATTCAGGTTCAGGCTGGATGCTGGACAACTGATGCCTTCCCATAGATCGGCAGAACTGTGCTTCAAAGTGTTTAGCTCAACGTCCTGGTCACTTGTTGTGGAAGGTTATCTGCATCTTCCGTGATGGTCTCTTTTTGAAGGCATCCTCTATAGTCGCCTGGTATTGCCTGACGCCTGTTTCCACCTCTCTTCATCTACCACTGATCAAGATCATTGCTCCTAACTATGGTCAAAGCCAGCTGGAATCAGTCTTGTACCGATCAGTTCCGACGACGCTGTGGAAGTCAACTGGCTTTTCTAACCTTTGGATGTAGGTCAACAAATATCTTTATTGCTGTTTCTACAGTAGACTGAATATCACTTCAGGCTTTGTCAGGATGAGCTTTGCTGTCATGTTCAGATTAACGACTACCTATCTCCTCCTTAAATGCGTAATTCACGTTATCATCTACTCAAGCACAAAAAGGCTTCGCTGCAGTCTGTTTCCTGCGACCAGTAAGACGCAGACGTGCTAACGCGTGACCGGAGTCCAAACAGGTACACCAGAAAGAACAAACGTCCATCAATGGCTTACAGCAAGCAATAAGATCTATCTGTGCCCATCATTAGTTTGATGTCGGTGGACGCTTTGTGAGACAGTATGCCTCCTTATGTTTGAAGTTAGTGCTAACCGGAAACAAGTAACTATCAGAATGAAATTGTAACATGATCACAGTTGTCCGTTCGTTAGTATGGGATTATGTAGATACCTTTCTAATTAGGTCAGCTTTCTATTTGAGCATTAAAGTCACATGCTATTATGAATATACCTGGACGTTTTTTTCTGCAGTGAAATTGAAGGCTTTTGAGAGAACTCACTCCTTGCATCAACCGAACTGCAGTCAGTGGGTGCGTAGGCGGAGATTACAAATAGGCAGCGCCTAGTCTCACGATCCTTCCCAGTTCTTACAGACCCATTCGGTCGAACACTACATAGACAGCTGTTGATTGGTAATCCAGTCGAGAAGTGAACTTTCTGCTCTACAGTTTAATCCTACGCTTACACCAGCGAGTCGACAAGAACTAGCCCTTGGAATCTCCGGATACTCGTAAGGCAGATTTTGGAGATTCATTGAAATGGCCAGGTGAGGTGAAGTGATGAAAAACCACACTTGGATCTTGTATATATGTCTTATAAATACAGGACACATTCATGGCTGGAGATTCCAGAGTTCTGGTGTGCGACATTTACTGTCCGATTTAGCATAGGGTTCGGAAGTTGAAGGATCTAATGTGAAGTCAACAGCGGGATCTTAGGAGACTAGGAATGAGGTGGCTTGGGTTGTTGGTAATACACAATGTGAAAGGTCGAGGAAGCTGTAAAAGGTTAAATATTTTGATCAGGAAATGTAGGTAAATGAACAGACAGAGATAAGGAGGGTAAGTTATGTTTTATTACGTTTCGCATACTACTGAAAGCGTGTGGGCGGCTGACACTTCCCATAAAAGGCTAACCTGAAAAAGGGTTAGTGTATGACCACAGAGCCCAAGAGATATCTACTTCGGACTGGTTACACACGGCTCTTTTAGGAGTTCGATAATTAAGTTTGTGATTTTCGAACCCGACTACGAACTCATATCACCAACATCGGTACGCTGCGGAGTATACTGGGGCTTGCTTTTTCTAGGGTCGACCTTTTCTAACCCACCTCTCCATAGGGAAGGCAGCATCAGTGTGGCACTGCTGGTTACCCACAGGAAACACCTTACTACTGGCCGGTTGGCAGTACGACTTCACCCTCGGACCATCATAACTGTGTAGTAGTTTACGTTGTAACTGCTTTTTGTCCTACCACTATTCAACTAGTATGGCAGGACCTCGAAAGAACAATCTTTTCACCAACATACCTTGTTGGGTTATTGTGATATGCAACCCCCATCACCACGACAAAGTAGTAGCCACTGGTCAAGAACAGTCCTTCGAGTCATATAGAGTCAATTTATGAACAAAATTGCCTGTCAATCATCCAAATGCATAGGACTAAACTTACAGGAAAGAGTAAATAAAGAAGTATGTTGAAAGCCTGGAAAACTAAAACTGGGAATTTTCGACAAAAATTGTTACTATGTAGTAATGAACGGCATACGTTTGACCTATGAATTCAAACAAAAAAACACTCCAAGTGATCGCTGGCGATTTGTACAATACATACGATGTAGTAGTAGAAAATATTTGGAAGGGGGAAACATAAGAACGCACTGAGTTAACTCTGATGATCACTTCAAATAAAAATAATTGATCATACTCGAAAGAGCTCACTGGTCTAGACGCTCGACTTCCAACCGATGGGTCACGGTTCGAACCCCGCCTCACTTATCGATGTCTGGGTAACTAGATAGTACCATTAATCTTCATACGATAGGTTTGGCTCGATGCCTACTATATAAATGTGCATGTGGTTGCTGAGCTTATTTTGACTCGTCTATAGAACATTGATCAACTGTTTTGCCTTCATTCTTGATTCCTTAAATATGAGCACAACATTTTAAGTTCAAATTAAGGTGAAACAGAGTACTTTGCTAGCGAATAACCGCCAAGTCACTAAAGGTATGAGACTGAACCTCGAAGAGAGTTACTTGTCGCTTGCTGACAAACTCCAAGTTAGAATTGGAAAACTGTCTAGTGTTCTTGGTATCTAATCATTCAAACGGATGCATCCATCACCTTAGAGCAGCAAACAAATATGGAGTGATGTGAGTTGCAACACCTCGCAAACACAAACAAGAAGAATCAACAAAATGGAAAAGTATAAGTGAGAGAAAAGAAGTGAATAAAGACTAACAAGATGTTCAAATACAATAAAGATGATATACATTCGCATTAGACTGACCGGAAATACATCACTGAGTTTGTAATCATCAGTTCTTAACATCTTAAAGATTGCCACCAGGCGACCCACAAAATTTAGATCAACTTGATAAATTGATGCCACGTTTCGCTTCGGTCACCTTTGGTGATTTTCCACATTAATCCTAACTAGCACTGTGCGCTAAGGTAGGCGATGACCAGCTAGGAGTAACAGATCCCGACTAATTCAGTTGGTGCAGATTCATAAATTAATCCAATGACTTGTCTTGGCTATGAGTGTGAATCTTGCCTCAATATCGTTCGTTTCAGTTTTACCATAGATTGGAGACGCTATGACCAAAAACCTAAAGCTTAATCTCATTTCCCAGAGATATAGAAGGAGAAAGTGGACTGTTAAACAGCCAGAAAATGCCCAATAGACATCTTGTATTCGCTCTGGGAATTCGTCAGTATATTCTCTAAATAAGCGAAAAACTCAACCCACTAAGTTTGATCTAGATCCTGAAACTAAGTGTCAATAGAGATTAGTCCCATAGTACTACCGTAGTGGATGCTACTGATGAGAATGCATATACGTAGCATATGTTGAAAGGTCGGAAGAAGCTATAAGTAATTACGAGCGATGGATAAGTACTCTGCCCAGAGAAGCGCAAAAGATGGTGTGACCGTATTAATAGCCAGATGAGACAGAAGATGAACATACTGCGCAAATTGACATTTCAATGGAAGGTTATAATATTTTACCAGTAGTGTATGAATTGTCATAATAAACAATCGTCCTGCGATTCCCCATTTGGCCTTTTGCTTCACTACCTTACATCAATATCTACAAAATGTATTTAGGTTTTCTCTCAACACATTCAAAAGACTGCAACTTTCAGTGCTTTCACCTAATACGACTATGTTATCAGTGTGAACTGATATCAGATGAAGTATCATTAAAAACCTAGGAGAGCCGGACACTTGTTTAGTTTAGGCATGCAAAGTAACATCCATCAGTTTATCTATAACAGGAATGGTGACCCTGGACACCACTATTCGTTGTTACTGAGGTTGACAAATCAAAATATGCCTCTGGACGATTGTATAAGTTTGAGCAGAGAACCATCAGTAGCACGATATACTAGCTCTCCGCTCCCTTCAAACTGAAACAAAGTCATAGCAGGACCTCTTGAACAAAAGAGATTGACTACCAATTCTAATTTGAGACATACGGCTAGTCTTAGAAGCTTTTATACATGTATCTGTATTAAGACCTAGCTGAGGGTAAAGTTCTGGTCGACGTACACGACCAAGTATCAAGCCAACTTCGAAATCGAGATACACCCCTCTACCTTGAGCATGGTCGTGTATTAGGCAATGAGCCACATCTAATGTGTGAGGGCTAATAAAGCTACCTGGTTGCTCAGAAATTTGCAGGTGAAGCAGAGGTTGAATCCATCGCCTATCAGTTGGAAGTTAAGTACCTAGACCAATGAACCACAGTTCCATCAAACCTACCCGACTTCTGAGAATTTGTCACTACCCAACTAAATTTAGACACAAAGTTATTATGACCACTAGGAAGCATTACCCCTCAGATAGTTCTTTCGTGATTATTAAAGAAGAATTCAAAAGGACTTCGTTGACTGAGGAAACATAAACAATCGAATCAATAGAAGTACTCAGGACTTGAAATGTCTTGCTCATAAAATTTACTGCTGTTTCACATATCGATGTGTTTATTTTTTCATACATTCGGTGACACCTGAAAGACCAACGACTATCAGATACACCAAAAGGAAAGATATATTAAAACCTGCAAATGATGACAACTAGCAAGTTGAAATCTTCAAAACCTAATACAAAGCTGCTTCGGAATACACAGGGTTTATCAAAACTAACCATGTAACTGGTAAGCAGTTATCATCGGTCTGAGTAGTCTTTTAAATATACTATTAAAACCAACTGGTTATTTTAGCAGCGAGGTAGATGAGATGCGCATATGATATTTTCGGTCAAAATTAATCAACAAAGATAGTTATCATTTTAGGCGAAATTCGACAACGGTGCGATAATCACAATTAAGACACGTAGTTAATTAGGTAATAATACAAAGTGAGCATCAATCATTCGTAAGTTTTGTTTTCTGAATGCACCGAAAAGCAAGATAACTGATACGTTCAGAATACAGTTATTTCACTACAGTTAGTTGCTTTTTTTGCACACATATATGACGAAATGATTAAATAAGACGTGAAAAGAAATTAATAAGTGAGTAGAGAATGAAACAGTTGAGATATTAGACTAATCCAAGGCAAGAATATAATGATTTAAGATTAGTATGTTCACGAAAAAACTGGTCAGTTTTTAAAGCTTATAAGGTTAAAAGTAGTCATGGTAATAATGCAAATCAATAAGTAGTAACCACTTTTCAAATCCACAGAACCTATAAATAAGAATGTGCCCACCAGTCAACAAAATAGCCTACAAAAAATATGGTCATATAGAACTAGTACAAGTAAATGGCTTCTTTACGAAACGATAATCTTCTAACTGCAGTGAACCCACAATGTAGAAACTGAAACTAGACATAAAGTTCCCAGGTGACGAGAATTACATGCAGCATACCCTAAACACATTAAGGATTTAAAAACTTATGCCAAATTATTATAATTACCCTCGAAAATACTCGAATAATGTTTTAAAAATACTTATTATCCTACTTATTTAACCTTTTTACAACTCTAAACTCTCAATCTTTAAACCCTGAAGTCGCACAGCAGATAAGACTGATGCTCAACTAACTACTCATTGATACGCAATCAAATATCTGTCCCTCTCGATAGGTAAACTATGCAGGCAAGTGATACATGAGGCTTTAATCCTAATTGTCATAGTTTCATTGATAATCAAACTATCAAGATGGTGCAGTTCCATGGGTGTCAATTAGCCAGCACAGTACCCCTGCAATATAACTTTATATTCTACAGGTGAGAAACGCTTCTGAAATAATAAGATATTCGCTCAAAATGTTCGTAAGACCTTGTATTTTGTCAGCCTAGCTCGTTACTTAGAATATATCACCGGTATACTCTGTGTCAGACAGGGGTTTTTCTTACTACAAACAAATTAAAACAGCTTAAACAGGTAGCTACTGATGCGTTTAGAAAAGTTATTTATAAATGAAAACTTTTAAAATATTTCTTTCACCTGTCCACCACTTCGTCCTCTGCCGTATTGCCTTCCTTCCTCGAAGCCTGCATCCCAATCTGTTCGAATTACTCGGTCATCCAATCGAGTCTTGTTAATGTATCTCATAGCCATTTCTGCACCCTCACGTGTACAATATTCCACAAAGCAAAACCCACATGGGGTTTTAGTAAATCTGTGTAAACCCATGATAACGCGCTTGACTTCCCCGGCTCGACTAAACAACTCCCAAATTTGTTCTTCACGAGTGTAGAACGACAAATTTCCAATGTATAAAGTTGTAGATTCCCTTAGGCATTGAGATAACTCTCGTGGAGAACACTAAAACCAAGTTGTGATGAAGGCGATTTAGTGCAAAAAAGTATACAGGAGATACTGAGTAAAATTATACGAAGAAAAGTGGTTTTCTGAGAACTTCGCCTTTTTGTGATTCTTATTTACTATACTAACTTCAGTTACTGATACGCTAACAGTTACATACCTTGTTAGAGCAATAAGATTTTTTTGTCATCATCTGATGGCTAGAAAACATGCGCAAAACACGACCTAGCTATCTCATAAGTTCACTGATTTTTTCACTTCTCAAAATTCTTCCACCTAACCGTAATATTGTTTTGACTAACATCCAACCAAAACCTTCAAAGTAAAAACAATACAACAAGAACTTTCTAGTGAAACGATCAAAACGATACTTTTAGTATATAAATAACTCTTAGTTGACCAAGGAACACTGACAGAAAGTCTTTTCGGCAAACTACCTAGTTAAGAAGATATGCTAAGTGGGTAGGATACTCGAGGCATGATATTGGGAATTCCAAATTGTTATTAGGAATAAAGTGATTATTATTATCCAATCATCTCACTCGTCGTAAGAATGACTTTAGTAAGGTGTATATATTTTTAAAACAAGTTTCTTATAACATGACTATTAACAAAAACCAAAAGGAAAACGATCACAAAAAGAGAGGTGTATTTAAGAAGCCCTCTCTATTTTGTATTGCAATTCATAGATGCGAAATACAAGGAAATTGGTGGGTACGATTTTAAGACATATCTAACAGTCTTACTCTGCTGTATGGTATGAAGTTTCGCAATGCATCGAAGGATACATAATGCACCAACAGTAAACGACTGAGCTAATAGCAGAAAAAGACGATTAAGGTACGCTTATGAGGTTGAAGATAATATTTTAAGATGACCCCTCCTATTAGATGACCATCTCCACCAACCTCAAGAACATGCTGTCAAGACTCAAATTACTTACAAAACGTTGCCAGTTGAGGACGACCCTGTAGAGAGAAATATACAGTGGTCGAATACACAGGACTCTCGAACACCTCAGCTATGAGTCGACAGAAGCAGAGTTGCTCTAAGTAAATCGTCTTATATTCAAAGCTCTAAAGCCAGAAAAGACGAATTAGATTAGTGTACGCTAGTCTGGATGTAGCTATATAATACTGCAAATCCTTATTTCTCACGCCACTAGCACTCACACTGATCCAAACATACGGACTTTTGAATAGTTCCTTTAAACAAGTATCGACATGCTTTTGTCAATCTAGAAAATGGTTTGAACTTTGATGATGTATAATATACTATACTTATAAATACTGATCGCCAACAGATGAAGTACAATTCGAGTTGCTTGTATGTCGTCGCACGATAAGATGACACTGTTTATAGACATCAGTTCGAAATATTTTTCTCATAGTGAGAAAGTTACACCACTGAGTCAAGAGCTGATTCAAGAATATTATCCGTGACAGTAATAAAGATGAATGGTGTAATCTGGCACCCATATACATTACGTACTCATAATTGCTTTTCACTTCAAAGATACAATACTCAGTCAGAATCAGGCCTTTACTCAAAATATCTCCATGATTTTACACCACAGGATATTTTTATGCCTTGGATACCTTCTACTAAAATACGAAGTGGGCATCGCAAAGTTTCATCAGCCATTCTTATGCTACTTATAAACAGTTAACAACTACGTGTTGTGCAAAAATGAAATCAGTGTCCTCTAAATCCTTTCCTCCTGGGATTACAATCATACTTAACAACTAGTATGAGTTTATGCAGTAGCCTGTGAACCGTGTTTAGTGTAGAAGAGCTCGCAGTGTTGTGTCAACCCAAACTAGAGTAATTGATACTGACTTTGAACCCATGTTTGGTAGCTCGAAACAACCATGAGCCAGTTATCCTAAACTCACCAACTAAATATGAGTTGATCAATAATAATGTAACTCAGCAACCATATACAGGTTCGTACACTAGAATATGAACTATGCCTATTGTGAGGACTAGTGTTACTACACCACTAACAAAACTAAGGTGAGGGAGGTCATGGTCAATCACCTACAGGACATACACCAGTGAACCATTTTTTTCACCATTATTTTGAGAGGTTATCCCATGATGAAATTAACTAGAACAATTCCGCAAAGATGCAATTACTTTCTAGGTTTTCTTTGTTATTTCAATGAGTTTATGTACATACTTTCAATATTATCTCTTATAATTTAATACTTGTCTCAAAAGAAACATTACGTATCATTAATGCGGTTCCCATATCAAATATGAGTGTTTAGAAGGATAACAAGTCATTGATAGAGTTTCATATATTGTGGAGTGAATTCCACAGATTCACCTCACTGACCCGGCGAGGTTACATTATCAATGACCACACATGGCTGACTAACACTAACTCACAAAATCAACGAAGAACCTCGCACACAAGTGCATTGCTTCCAGTTGCCATATTTCACAAAAGTACTCCAAGAAGAGGTGGATAGAAAGGAGTGATGTCACAGTAGACAAAGTTGTGTGAGAGAATAAACAATCTGAAGATAAAGATTAGTAAGAATGTTCAAGCTTCAGATGTCAAAGAGTGAATACACCGGTCCCATTCTGACCGATTTTCAGTCCGATTACCGAGAATCTTCAATCACAGATGCCTTTCGTCTCGAGGACCCCAACTACGCAGTCTACATCGCTCCATGATCCAAACCAACAGCAATATACTTCATGGACTGAGAACACGTCTTGGTCTGGCCATCCTGAACACTCCTCTAACCTAATCCAACTTCCTCTGGCATAGCACGTCGAAGGAAGGCGAAGGCTTGGCATGTCCAAGTCATCTCAGTCAATGAACACTCACAGTCTGGTCAATCCATCTGCCTTTCTTGTCTAGTATCCTTCGCCTGACACCAATACTGTTCACACGGTGATTCCACCAAATGCGTGCAATGCTATGAACACACCTATGTTTGACCACCATTGCCTTCGTAGTATAGGACGTATTCCGTGGTGTCACCACATGAGTAATGCAGAAGTTAGGTGTAGAGTTTTAGGGAGAAGAGGTAAGTCAGTTGACGAGGTTGTGAACCTTCATCGACTGAGATGGTTGGGACACGTACTACGTATGCCTAGTCACCGATTGCCTCATCACACAATGTTGGCTGAGGTGGGTCCAGGCTGGAAAAAGGCCCGAGGTGGCCAGACTAAAACATGGCACCAATGTATGAAGTCTCTGACTGTTGGTTTAAGCCATGTAGGACGATGCAGACTAGGTGGTTGGGGTCCACGGGACAAGAGGAACCAGTGGTTGGAGACTCTAGGTGATATGGCTCAGAACCGAAGTCAGTGGCGCAGATGTATACACACATTATCCTCATCTTAACAACGCTATACCGAATCTCACCATTTTGTCACTCCTCTTTTCTTTCTTCTCGTACTTTATATTTCTTTTGACTGCATTCACTTATCTTCATCCTTCACCTCACTACCTTTTTACTTGATGAACTGACGTGAGGTGTGGCAACTCGGACCGTTACGCAGTAATGCCTGGTCCTATGTTGATAATGATGATGACACCTATGATCAACCACCTGTAACCACTTCATGTCTTCTACCTTTAACGAGCACGTCATACAGCCGTATAACAGGACAGAACAAACTGCAGCGAAGTATACTTGTACTTTGATAGACAGTCGGATATCTTGCCAGTCGGCGCCAAGGATGAAACAGGTTGACAAAGGCTAAACGGGCCTCTTGTAACCCAGCTAAGATTTCGTCAACAACTAACCCGCTCGGTCCGATCCAACTACCCAAGTAAGTGAAGTGGTTGACACATCCCACCACTTCTCCTTCGATCATTAAACTAGGAGTACTTGCAGCAGACCAGTCCTAGAGTATCATCTTACATTTCACAAGTGCGAAACTCATGCCGAATATAAAGATTTCTGATCGACGCGTCCAGGAAAACCCTACATTTATTCAGCGTCTTCACCTAGCAGAACAATATCGTGTGCATGCTCCAAGTCAGCCAGATAACCTCCAGGAAGTAGGTCAATCCCTGTGAAGTCAGGTGTACCAAAGTTTGTGTACATTAGTAGGCCCATAACGAAGTTAGATAGGAAAGGTGACAATGGGCATCCTTGGCAGACACCACATAACAACTTCCCATAAGCCCTGACACGGATGCGTGAGTTCGAGTGGAGATTTCTCATTAACCCTATGTATTTGCTCGGTACTCCTTTTATAGTCACACATACTCACAACACCTCATGGTCAAAAGTCAAATGCCGCCTTAGATTCAAGATATAAGGCAAATGTCGGTCACCGGCGGTAAGTATGCCTATGTTCCAGAACGTGTCGAAATGTAAAAATCTAACCGATGCACCCTCTTACCGCTCTCTGTAAAGCCTGCTTAGCTCTCTCGAGTTTGCTGTTCTCGACCTCTCGTTGGGCGTCGGAAACTATGAATGGTTGTAACAAGATTTCTTCCCTTCTTATCAACTGGGATAATCAGCCATATACACCAGTCCGATGGCTCTATCTATAATTCCCATACACTGCCTAGTACCTCCGTCACTCTTGTCGGAAATTCTTTACCCCCATACTCAAAAACTTCAGGTGAAAGACTGTCATATTCTGCCGCTTTCCATAGTTTTAGGTTCGATTCAGCTTCCCCAACTTCGAGGAAAGTTGGAAGACCAATGTCTTCGTTTCATTTAGGTACAGAATAGATGTTGGGAAGCTGAATAGTTGCTGCCTACCAGTTCAACTGTCGTTTGAGGTGTTCCGTTTTACGTTCTAGCCGCCTGTCCTAGGAGGTTGTCGGCGTCCCATCCTTTTCGGTGATGGTTTCACTCACCATCGTCTTCTTCTTCCGGTATCCTTCATAAGCCTGAACAGTTGCCAAGTATTACCCAACGCACCCACCACTGCTGGCGATTGATGGGAAGACTTTCAGTCAATTTGTGTTTCGTTTGCTTTCGCCCTTCACTGTATTCAGAGCCAGGTGGAACCAGTCTTCTCAAACCAATTAGTTGGGATGACGTTTCCTGACCTTCAGGTGTAGGTGACCGGCTGTCTTTACCGCTGTTTCTACAGCAGACTCAATATCACGTCAGGTTTCCTCAGGATGACTATTGCTATCAGATCCAGATAAATGCCTAGCTATCTCTTCACTGAACGCCCACTTGACCTCATCTTCTAATCGACCGTAGACAAGTTTCACTCTCACCTGCTTCCTGCAACCAGTAAGACACAGACATCTACCAGCCCGTACTAACGCGTTATCAGAGTCCAAACCAGTACTCCAGAAAGAACAGCAATCCCCCACCGACCCTCTCTAACGATGGCTTATGTCAGGCAGTAAGATCGATCTGTGCCCATCGTTCATTTGATGTTGGAGGAGGACGCTATATGAGACAGTGTCTCTCCCTATGCCTAAGGATAGTGCTGGCCAGAAACAAGTGATTGTCGGAGCAAAGTTGATACAGACTATCATCGTCGTTTGTTCGCTGACATTGGATCCCGTAAATACCTTCCAGATGCCTCTCCAATTGGCTCAGCTTCCCTACTTGAGAGTCAAATTCACCTACCATTATGACTACATCTGAATGTCTTGTTTTCTGTAGTAAAGTTGACAGCTTTTCGTAGAACTCATCCTTTGCATCCTCCGAGCTACAGTCGGTGGTGCGCAGGCAGGGATTACAAGTAGGCATCGCCTAGTCTCACGATCTTTCCTAGTTCTTGCAGATCCGTTCAGTCGAACAGCACATGGATAGCTGTTTACTGGTATCCAGTCGAGAAGCGCGCTTTCTGCTCCAAAACTCAATGCTATATCTACACCACCGAGTCCAGGAAAGCTGATCATCGGGTCTCCGGACACTCTAGGGTGAATTTCGAAGATCCACTATTGTGGCCAGGTGAGGTCAATTTAATAACCACGCCCGAGTCCTGCGTATATTTCACGGACACAGTATACACCTACGGCTAGAGATTCCTGAGTCTTGGCGAGTGCAGCTAGCTGTCCGGTTTTGCTTGGAGTTCGGACGTTGAAACCCATGACAGGATCTCAGGAGACTAGGAATGAGATTTCAATGGCTTTGATTGTTGACAATAGTTGCAGAGTGAAAGGTTGGGTAAGGTGTAAGAGACCCAGTATTAGTATCAGGAGGTAAAGGCGAAGGAGGAGACAGAGTTGAGGAGGATATGTGATGTTTGACTGTCTTATATACTACCGGAAGAGTGTGAGCGGCTGACGCTTCCTGGCTGCCCACACCGTAGAAGGCTATTTCTTCTTAAGGTACCTGGATGATAAAAGGATTTGTGACCGCATATCCTGTAGGACATCTGCTTGAGGCCTGTCACACGCGGTCTTTAGTGAGCTGTTGCTTTGAGGTTTGGCTGTTCTCAAGCCGGGTAGACGTAAAAAACAAGTTGCCAAAACTGGGAAATCGTGGGGCAGGAAGCGATGTGTTATCTTCGGGGTTGACATTTTTAACCTCTTTCCTTTGTTTTGAGGCTGCATCAGCGTATCACTGCTGGCCATACAAGGGAAACAGTACAACAGTACAACTTCGCCCTCAAACCCCCATAATGGTGTAGTGATATACACTACGACAGTAGCTGCTTTCCATCGTATCACTATCCAACAGACCTTTCTGGCATGGTAGAACCTTGAGGTAGCAGGCTTTCCAACACAGCTGGTTGTGTCATTGTGATATCCAAGCCCGACCATCAAGTCAAGGTAGCAGCTAGTTTTACAAGTTAACGGGGAAGGCTATGTTTTCTTAATTTAAATTTTGAAATCCAATAGTTAGAGGAAATGTTAGGATGACATTATGGTGCGCATAACACTAAGTAGTAGCTGTGTGAGCTGGTCACTACAACTTATTGTAGTGACTTCTTCCATGACTTTGAGAAATTAAGCTCATGTTGAGTAAGCCGTATAAAGAGCTTTTTGACAAACTTAGACGAAGATTAATTCACTCATAGTTTGGGTTCTCACCATTTACCGAGTTTCAAGGTTATGCAATCAGAAAAAGAAGTGATATTTGTACGCTTCTGATATTTTATGCTTTTGTTGCGTTATTTCCATCAAAACCTGTATAAATCAACCGGGTATATTTACAAACTATTTTGGCTTCAGCATAATTCTTTTTGTCTTTCGTTGATTCAGATGTTGATAAATACTTTAGGGAACTCCTAGAAGATCGTCAGGTTATCATTCTTACTTTTTTCTGTTGTTCTGAGATCACAATCACAATGGTAGTACCATCCATTAAATGCGAATGGTCAGGGTCACTATTCAACGTGGATGAAGATTTGCATTTTTGCAGCCGCGGTAGTTAGTACTATAAGATACATATCAACTGATTATAAAATTTAAGTAGAATGCATTTTCACTGGATGTGCACATCATGTAGGTTGTGTGAATCCTCTACCCCAGTCTTGATTATGCAGGCTTTTGCATAACTTTCTAAAGCAATGTCACTCCCAGACGATTCGTACCCACTTGATATGGATAAAGATCCAGCCCTCAACCATGATGATGTTTTTGATATTATTTAAGTGGTGCTCCCAATTTTAAAGACTCGGAATCCCTCTTTTGGTGTGCAGTAAGTCCCACCATGAAGTCACCAAAACAGGTCAGGAGCACAAAGAACGAATCCGGCCCAGATTAGTGGTACTTTTAACCTCAATAGTCAAGATCCAAAATGCCTGTAGATGGTATTTCCTCGACAGAAAAATCTATCAGACGTCGAAACGACCATCAGACAATAATATGAGCTAATCATTTCTGATTCCCTCCACTTTTGCAGAAAATAAGCATGCAGAATCGGGAAATACCACGAAATGGCTGCATACAAAGCCAGCAATTACTTCGGACACACTTTGAAGACTTCAGGTTTTAGCCCGAAACTATTTCGGGCGCATATGCTGTTTCAGGTCTTTGGGCGCACTCTGAAACTTTCGACAGCTTCGAGGTAAAGATTTGGAAATCTCCGGGGATGTTGTGCGTTTCCCTTCTTAAGCTTGAAATAAGATTTTTGGGATTTTGCCCGAAATTTGCAACGTGCGCCCGAAATAAATGCCGGCTGGGTAAAGTGTATTTTCTAGCAAATTCGTCTTTGATATTACCAACAAAGCACACATCGTCTCTGATGTATGATAATGGGTTTGAAGTCAAAGAATAACTAGGTAAATGACGGTAAAATGTTCTAATTCTACAAAATAATGCTTGCTAAGGGGTATTGGCACCAAAAAGTAGGGAATGTCAACCGTAAGCCACAAGCACATAAAATCTTACAGTATTATAGGACTTACATCATTCCTTCTATCACGATATGGTGACTTATAAAAAGAAGCGTCTAAAATGTCACAAACCACTTTGTCTCTTGGCATATCGTACCACAGGGTTCGATCTGCGCGGGGTTCATCATATCGTGGAGATAGATTATTCTCGAGGTTTTCAAATTTTCATTAACGGAGTAGATGTAGCTTTTGACTAACTGCCTTCTGAGTCCGAAAGCAATGTGTTGCAATCTCTTTTATCGGAGGATCTAAGCGTAACGACACAGAATTCCGAATATTTTTTAAAGGATTCCGGTTCAGACTTATTGCTTGAGGATAGGAGGCTGAGGGCCTATATTAATCATTCTGCAGTAGATTTTTGTGCTTGTCCAACCCCCTTTTGAACTATCCAGTTGATGATGCCGACACCATTTCTTACAGGAGTCGGTTCCAGGCGTTGATTTCTCGATGCGAGGGCCAGTACTCTGCGGAGACTACGTTCGTTCCTAGCTTTTGTGGTCCCCTACTATGTCCTCTGAGGTGTTCCGACCCAGTGGGAAGTAAAGGAGAAGATATATCAGGTCCAAAGTCATTTCCTAGAATCCCGTAAAGCATGATTAAGTTGGTTGTTTATGACCTACTCCGTTAGCTCATTCCGTACTTCTCATTTTATAAGCCACCACTGTACCACTTTTCAGCCTTCTAAATTCTGAGTGATATAGGTCCGGTGCTGCTGTGCGTTCGCTAATTGAATGAGCCTAAGTCCACAACCTGATTTAGTGTAGCGCCTCTGGTAACTTATTTTCGGGAAATGCTTTACGACAAGCAGACAGGCAAAATCACATGCTGAGAATCTTATATTTTTTCTACATAACTTAATGTATGAGATACATCGTGTCTTGCATGTGTCACCCCACATTTTTCAGAAATAAAGATTAGTTTATTGAAACTTGCTGAATGTTGAAATCGATCACACCATCTAGCAAAGTGAGTGTGTTGTTTTCACTTCCTATCTCTCCATAGCTCCACACCGTCAGCACAAAAAAGAATATCACAAGATGCCTGTAAAGGCAAGTCATACATGCAAATAGGGCACAAGGGAGTCACCGATACCGAGCCCTTAGGGACTCCACCAGGGGTTCTTGTTTCTTTGAACTCAGCAGAATTAAACCACATCTTAAAGAGATGATCAACTAAATGCTTATACTGCCATTCGATCAACAGTTAACTTATTTCCATCAACTCCAGCTTGTTAATGAGACGGTCATGGTTTTCAAAATCGAAGGCATATGAAAACTCGTGGAATGTAGCATTTATCTTATCCTGACTGTCGGTAATCCCATCTGGTCTGTTTACTGCTATTAGTGGCTAGTAACAAATGAACACCGTCTTCTAAAACCGTAATGCTGGGCGCACAGGGAAACGATGAACGTAGACGTTAATTGATCAACAACTCCGTGCCATTTGATGGTATGGATAAAGGAGCCACAGGCCTGTAGTTCTTTGAGTTGCTTAGTTGACTTCAGTATGCCCTGGTTTATGGGACGAGTGAATTACCTTATGAGGTGCTTAGTGAGGAGTGAGTTTCTCTAAGGAGGACGACGTACATTTCATCCAAACCGTAAAACGCGCCATTTCTAACGATCGTCAGCTTACGATGCAAGTGACCGACAGTCATATCAACGGCTGACAATCATGATTCTTCTGTAGAAGGTTCATACGCATTTCAGGATGCAGTCATTGATGATGAAGCATCACAACTGGTCAGCCCACTGAGACTCATCTGGTGGCAAACCTTTTCTCGACCTGATTAATTGATGCCGCACGGCGGTAAAGTTTTTTTGGATTTGATTAATGTGTTTTTGCAAGCCAGGGTTGATAGAGGTGTTCATCATCTTGCAAGGCCCTCAGCCAGAGATTTGTCGTTTATCTGAACTGCCAATTGACTCACAGCTGTTCTGTCTGCACTTGCACTCAGCCCAACTCCGGTGACGAAGGTACACAGAGGTATATCGATGTTTTTCAAGGTCTTTTGCCGTAAGCTGCACGATGTCCCCCAGGTAGCTGTGTCTTTCCTCCTCCTCCCTCCTGTTGTCATATAGCAATTAACTACTTCAGGGCTTCGTTGCGGTCGTTGCCAAGCTCAAGTTACCTTACTCAATAATTTCTCCTGACGGTCTGTTGACCAGTGTTGCATTCATACTGAGAGTGATTTTGACTATTTATTGAAAAATATCATACGGATATGTTTCAATATAATCCCAGCCTGTTTAAAGGGTCAAAACTAGATATTTTTGAACGTTTCGCTGCGTAAGCCACTGCCTCGTCGGCAGCATATACGGATTTCTTAATAACATCATCTGATCCGTCTTCTGCCGTCCATTGCCATACATGTATTTGGTGTTGGCAGACCAGAACAGTCCAAGGTGGAAGGCATTCTGCCTGAGTTCACATTATTTTATGTAGCTGCGCTTAAGTTTGAAGTCCTAAGGAGTATTTGTCGCTGCAGATGAGAATCATGAACTTGGTGAAGTAGCTGTTGAGGAATTGGTTTATAAGTGATTCGTTTCGTTTGACTTAACGTTGTCTGATGGCGTTGGATGAGAGGCACCGACAGCAGCGTGAGGAGACAAATTTGTTCCTACTGTGTAGAACATTATGATTATGATGGACATGATGTGATTTCGTTGCTACTTCTAGCAGATACGCAATGTGGCAGCTGCACTGTGAACTGTAGACATCTCGGATTACTGTTAATTTATTAGGAAACCACACTCATCCTACATAGACACGCTCACCCGATAAAAACTTGAATGTCACAGCAATTCCTTTGCCCAGTATCCTTTCCATGTTACATTACTATTTCCACAATTCCCCGGCTCCTAATTTTAAGTACATTTTTATTTGTTCGTGTTATTTTCCAATACTATCCTAGACGTCACAAAGTGCCGGTCTATATGTTTCCTTAGTCTTAGCACACCAGCCGGTAGAACCGCGAAATTGTCACACGGTCGGGTAGCATCTAGATGTCTGTCGTAATACCGAGCTTGCAGCCATTTAGTATTCAGAAACATGAGATTTTACCACATGGGGAACGAGCAATCATGAGCGAGTGGGGTACATGCTCTTTCTGGTTGGACAATGACATACATATTCCAACTATCCCTTTTGTAGGCAAGGTCTTGCGCTGTTTCCTCACTCTCAAACTTTTGGCAAGAAATGAGAAGTATAACAATACTTCAGGGAGTTATAACCATCACTTTTGAGCTATTATAACTTAGAAATGTGATTAAAAAGGCAGAAATTGATTATTAGGAATTCAGTCAAAGACCAGCGAAAGCCGAAGAAAGTGCTCTTTTTAGCCCAAAGGTTTTACAAAACTAGTGACAGACAATTTTGTGAAGCCTGACGCCATCGGTATGTACAATGCACCAAAGAAGTCAGTTTCAAAAGTTACTTTTCCGCCAGTCTATCAAACAGTGAACCGTCCCGTAAAGAAGGCTCAGTTGGGGAACAGTATTCCATCTCAAATGGAATGCCGTATGTGTTACACTGTAGTTGAACTAGGCGTAGATAATCGTTTCCCTTACCCTCTATACATAGGGCAGTCCCTTCAAAGCACATAACAGACTTATCTTTGAGGATGATGTTGGTGACGGCCAAAAACTACGGCAGGCCGGATTTGCGGAAAGAAAAGACCTTCCTCTATATGACGAGTTGTGCTGGACAACCAGGTCAACCGTGGTGTGAAGATTAAAATGTGTGTTTCTAAAGCTAGTTGTGGCGTTAAGTGTGAGAGCACAGCTGCACATCTCCAGAAATCCATCTTTAAGGAGAAGTCAGTGACTCTGTGAACTGAAAAGACACAATAATCGGATTAGATCTAGTTTCAAGTGAATAGGCACTAGTCAGGGCGGATATGGCATGCATAAGGACAGTGCATATGGACAGTCTACTCACTTAGAAGACAAGAAGCTACATTGTGACGGCCATCGCTAAATAGAGTCCCGATTAATCGCCGGTGTGAGCCCATATTATCGTGCAAGTAAATATATTAAAAAGTGACTGAAAAGTCCAAAAATGCAGAGGTGTGTGACAGAAATGAAAACCCTGAAACTTACCCGCGGGAAGCACAAGAAGCTGAACAAAGGGCTTCAGAAACGCACACGTGGCAACTTAACCAGGACCTAAACCACATGAAAACATTGCCTAATTGACTAGCCGGTTCTAAGCTCAGATAAAGAGAGAAACTTCAGAGCACACGGGAAGCGTGAAAATTTAACTTATTCCTAGCTGGAAACGGGGAGACGAAATGGCACCGGTTTGTGAAAGCCTTCGGGAAGCCAACTGGCCAATATGTCTCTCGACGAAAGCAAAAGTAGATATGGGAACGTGGGATGCTCGAACAACGTTTGAACCCAGCAAGGCTGCTCAAATTAAAAAAAGTGAAAGGGTATGGCATCGAAATGCTAGCAGTCTGCGAAAGCAGATGGGATGGAAGCGAACTCTCCAAACTGTCAACTGCAGAGTCAACAATCTACTCCGATATTGTCACACAGACGACAACCACAATCACACTGAGTTATGCAGTGGCTATTATGATGTCCCCAAGAGCATCGAAGGCTCTCATGCAAAGGGAACCTATCTCCACCTGCAGGATCACGACAGTAAGATTCAGCTCAAAATGAGGGAAAGTCGCAATCATACAATGCTACGCTATGCGCCCACAATAATGTAGATCAAGCGAAAGGGGAAGAATTCCATCGGCAGCTGCAATCGGTAGTAGACAGAGCCCTAGATTCTGACATCAAAATCCTAACGGGAGGGGTGACATGAACGCCAAAATGGGAAGAGACAGCACAGGAAGAGAACCAATCATGGGTCGACCGGCATTTGGTGAAATAAATGAGAATGAAGAACCGTTTGCAGACTTCTGCGCGTTAAATGGTTTGATGATTGTAGGCACTATTTACGAACACAAGGATATTCACGAAGCAACACGCATTTGATTTCACAAGGTGGACGCACCAAAAGTCAGACCGATTTCGTCCTAATGTAAAGGAAGTGCGGACGCAGAGTACTGGACACAAGATCAGATCAGATGAAGGGAGGGAGCAGATGTGGGTAGGTTCACACCACTCAATATCT